ATGGTTGGTGGGATGTAAGGTACAAAAGGTTGAGAACCGCTGATCTAGAAAAACCCTGCCTGAGGCAGGATCATCCCTATCCAAACCACCCCGTACAAATCCTTGTCTAACCTATTACTACCACTACACAATCAACTTTGTTGCACAACTACAAGACATAAGGCCCTAACCTGCTACTGGTAGGTAAAACGGGGGGACAATGGTGGTCAGTGTTGTGCTGTTGCAAGAGTTGCTAAAATACACTCAGGATACTGAAGGAAGAGGAAGGTTATCTGCTACAGAGGAAGGCAACCTCTCCCCCTTCCCCCCTCCCCTGATATGTACCAACTGGAACATAAGGTAAAGTGCCTTCCTGACCCCAGGTATGGTGATTGCTCTGACCCTGAGCAGAGGGGCAAGACGTTCTAGCTAGGAATCTCTGGGTTTCAGTCCCAGTAGAAACATTGGCACACCCCCATTGGAAGCAGCTAACACCCAATATTACGATGTAGCCATTACTGCAAACCAAACAGTCTCTGCCACTCCCTTCCTCCCCACTCCATGCAGCTAGCTGCTAGATTCATGGCCATTATACAGTAATGGTAAGTTCAAATGCTGCAGGCCACGGGTTGCTGACCCCCACTTCTAATCTGAACAGTTGGCATCCGTAGATAACCAGTCTTTTTTTATGACGTGACACTAGCAGCCAGTTTTTAATGGATTTTTCTAAGTGCAATACAAAAATCTAAAATTATATTTAAACTTTATATGAACTATGTACATGTCTCTCACAATAAGAAAGAAAGGGAAAAGAAAAAAGAGGAGGGAAGAGGGAAGGAAAGAAGAAAAAAAGTTCACAAAGACTAATATTTTAGTTACCAAAGTTCTAAAAACTCAGAAAAGTGTTTAATTAAAAGGAGTTGTACACAATGTAATGAAGGATAACACTTCAGTAAATTTATCATTTTTTTTCCAAGCTTGTCAGGCTGCAAAAATTGTAGGATCCGCATTAGTGAGTCAGAAAGATGGTGATATGTAAAGTTCGCAATGGTAGATAATGGAAGGGGAAACAAGTGCAAGCTCAATTTACATCAATACAGGAGAGTAGTTATATCACTCATCCAATACACAGCTTGACTTTCTAAGAAGGCATTCTGATACTGTCTAAATTCTGGAAAATGAAAACCACCCATTTCAATTGGCAATTGCATCTTTTTTGCTGAAGGTCAAACTCCATTTATTTACTCCCCACAGAAACCTGTTGAACATCTGGTTTATTTTAACAAAATGGGATTCAGGGATTATAATTGGTAAAGGCAAAACAGGATATTCATTTTTTAAATATTAACATGCCCCCACAAGGACACTGGTAAACTCTTCTGCTTATTCAGATCCTGTGGTATAACACTAAAGCTTCTGAAAGTTTTGGTAGAGAATGACATTAATATTCCTGGATGTTTTAATACCTAAATAAGTTATGTGTTCTGATTGCCATTGAAACTGTCATTTGTGAAACATACCCTTTGTCGTGTACATACTTAGTTCAAGTAACTCAAATTTAGCCCAATTAATTTTATAACTAGATTGCTAAAATTGTTGCTTAAGAATGAGAGCAGGAATTGATCTGTTACACTGTGACAGAAGTATTACTGCATTATCTACATGCAACAGAACCTTTTGTTCACTGGGCACATCTACATGTTCATTAATGCACTGTAATTACAGGGCATTAAGTTTATTTCCTGTAATTACAGGTACTACTTGAATGCGCCATAATCAATGCTACTGCACTTTAGCCACAGCGAATGCTTTTTTGGTGATGCTAATGCACAGTAAACTAATTCTGCTGCACATTAGTGGATTAGCACAGGTTTTGCCTGCCGTGCTTATGTGCAGTAGAATTAGTCTACGTATTGTGCTTGAAGTGTGTTGTGTAGACACACCCACTATCTCCTACTTTTGATGCTTTTTGTATTATCCTTATTCCTTTTTGTTGTAGCCAATGATTCCAATGCTAGATCAAATAGGAGGGGGTATAGTAGGCAACCTTGTTGAGTCCCTGTTTGCAAGGAAAAATTATTAGTCACAAGTCTTGAAGTGAGATGTGTATAACAGCTTTATTGACCTTACAAATTCTTTACCAAAATCCATCTTTTATAATACACAGGAAGGTACCTCCAAGAAACATAATCAAAGGCCTGTTTTGCATCAAGTGCTGAAAATGTCATAGGGACTTTGAATGTGTATTGCTGCTACTGTATCAATAGTCTGACCTACATTATATGAACTATGCCTTTTTTGATAATTTGTTTTCATGTCCTTTAAGGTCAAAGTTATTTCATCTAATATATGATCCTCTAAAATTTCCTTCTCCATCTCTCAGGAGTGTTGTTTTAGCCTTGTTGGTCTGAGGACATAGGCAGACAAGGTTATTTGGGTAAGTGTCCTATCTTTTATAAGACCAGCTGAATAGTTGGGAAAATTGTCTTTTGCAGGCTTTTGGACACAGGCGCCCTTCTTCAGGCATAGGAGAGTGTCTGTGTCCAAAGAAGAGCACCTATGTCCAAAAGCCTGCAAAAACCAATTTTCCAACTATTCACTTGATCTAATAAAAGATATCACATTTACCCAAATAATCTTCCCCATCTCTGAAATCTATTGTATGGGTCAAGTTGTATTTTTGCTTTTCATCTCCGCCAATTTGTCCAGTGTGGCAAAAAGCTGCCACTCAACGAGTAAGTCTGCAGCCGCAAAGCAGTTCTGCTTAAATTAAAGAAAGTTGAAAAACATCCTAATGAGAACAGACAGTTCTGAACCAAACCTTGAAAACCCTGTTGAATAGTTGGTAAATGAAGACTTATACCTTCCAAGTAAAATAGGCTGAAATTGATGGTTAAAGGCAGCTTCTTTCCATAATTTGAATATGCTGATGATCATCATCATTTTCATGTGTTTGTATTATTGTTGTGCCTTGCAGATCTAGTTACAGGTGAGGGCCTCAATATGCTAGGAACAGAAAAAAAGAGAGTCTCTGCCCCAAAGACTTCTTTCTGGTGAAAGCAGACTCTGTGGAATACAGGAAGTAGAGGCTGGACTGGAATGGGTCTAGGACAGGAGTGTTCAACCTCCAGCCTGCGAGCCAAAAGTGGTCTGCAGAGCTACAGGTATCCAACCTGCAGGACTCCCCATGGATTGGGACGTTTGGCAGAGGGGGAGCAGTGGCTGTAAATATGGCCACCCTCCCCCACTACCAAGTTCCCAAACCTAAGCCCCACACAACAGGTTGGGGCCAGGTCATACCCTGTCCTCACCCCCATGATTGGATGAGGTCAGGCCATGCCCCTCCCCTTGAGCTGGATGGGGCAGGGCCACGCTCCCTTTCCCCCATGGGGCTGGGTTGGGGCCAGCTCATGATTGGACTCTAACTTTCCTCTAGGTTTTTCATGACTGTTCAGATGTATATATTGAGTAAAGATATATTTCTAAGTTAGGCAAGATTTAAGCCAGTTCAAATGTGGATATTGTAACTGCAGTTAAAATTCTGCATATTCCAATACTGGGTTTCAGTCAAGTGTGCTTTATATTAAAAGTTAACCATGTAGTCATTTGGAAATGTATGCATTAACAAAATAGATAAAGTAGGTTTAGTGGAATTAGAGAGTACATCTGAATGAATTTTCTGGTATTGCATTTACACAATAGAAATACAAATATCTGCATTATGAATGTATTATTATTAAGCAGTCTTTAAATTTGACAAAAGCACACACTCAGTGGACTGTGCTGGTGCATGGAGTGTTAAGTGCTAAGATTGTGTGCGCTTTATAACCACAGTTCTGTTTGAAGCAAGTAATAACATTTAACAGGACTTGAAAATGTATCCAGCTACTTCTATTCAGAAATCAGCATAGAAGATAGTGATAGCACCAGCATTGTCAGTGGAGATGCCTAGCTTTATAACCCAGCCTTTACCCACTCTCTGTCTCTTGGGAAGTGGGGGGGTGCACTTGGCTTGTGAACCATAGCAGTGTCTTTGGTCTGTACTTTGAGGCAGAATTTCAGCAAAACAACAAGTAAACCAAGGTCAAGTTCTGTGGTTACAAAGACAGATGTCCATTCTGAATAATGCAGGGCACGACCCTCCTGAATCCCCAGGCAGACAGCTCCAGTGACTTGCTGCTTACAGTTTGTCAAACAGGATCAGAAAGAAATAAGAATCTGTGGTAGCTACTAGCTGGAAGCTGTTTAAATTCCCAGTCCCCTTCTTAGCTGCTGGAAAGCAGGAGGTGAGTTCTGTCACTCACTCTCTTCCCTTCTGGTCTTCTGGCTATTAGCAAGGCAGTCTCTCCCGGTCTCTCTTCTCCATCTCCTCCTGCCCCCATGCGCACACAATTTATGGCGATCTAGCTACCCCAGACGGTGATGTGTGTGTGAGACCCTATCCTTTCCCAGTCATTGGTGTTCATAGCTTTCCTAAGCAGCACCAGTATGAGATTTACATTTTTCCTCTTGGTTTTCCATTAGTATGCAAGGTACAGAACAGCTGTAGTGAAAATCTCATCCAGAATCTTATTTCTCTCAGCTGCTGTTGATGAGGGTGTAAGCAACAGCAGGATCACCAGAACTGTCTCTCTGGAGACTCCGGAGTACTGTACCCTAAGGAAGTTCAGGCTAGATAAAAGTACTGTACTGTAAGGTGGATACATAACTGGTTGGATCATTGTACTCCATGTGTAGCCCTGGGGTCTGTCCTGGGTCCAGTATTGTTCAACATCTTCATTCATGATTTGGATGATGAGATTGAATGCACGTTAAATTGTGGATAAATACATGTCTTCCCCCCCCCCCCCAATACCTTCCTTCCCATCACTGATAATCATGACAGAGTGGCAGTCTACAGAAAAGAGTGCTTTTCCCACGACAGTGTTCTCACTCGACTGGCTTATTACAGATGGATTCTGATCCAGTGTAATCATCTCTCTCTCTCTCTCTCTTTTTTTTTTTCTCCCCCACCTGCCTAGTTTTTTCCCTATATCTTGCTGCTAGTTGCCATTCTGTTGTATCTACCATGCCTGTTCTGGCGCTTCACCGCAGCACCCCACCTTTCTTCAGACCTGAAATTTATTATGGAAGAACTTGACAAGGCCTACAACAGAGCAATCAAAGCAGCCAACAGTTTTCATAGCACAGACACCAGAGACCCTGCTTGCTCCATTCCTACTGTTAATGAGAATCTAACACAGAGGTAACATGCTGTACTTTTGTATTTGTACTTTGTCTGTCTTAGCTTTTTGTAAGTAAAATAAGTTTGGGACACTTGTAAATCCCAGACATGTGCCAAACATTCATAGCAAATGCTTCTTTTTTCTGAATTGCAATTAAACATTGAGAACCCTAATCTATAACTCTGTGCGTGCAGGTGTGTGTTTAGATCGTACTAATAGCTATGTGTTCTCAAACAAACCATTTGAAAATATGGTCTAAACTATATAAGGCCATCTGTTTTTTGGTCTGAGTACCATTACTCATGGTAGTACTGTTACTCCTGATACCATTACTCCTGAGATTAGAACACAGATCTTTTGAGGTTATGGGTATATCTACCTCCTGTTGCGCTGTACAAGAGAGCACTGTGTTGAAAGCATGCCCCGCCCATTAATTCCTGTTTTAATAAATATGCCTGAACTTACGATACACATCGGATGTGCCAAAAAGCATCTAAATTAAAGTGCTCTTGGCACATGTGGAGCATGTTTATGCAGCAGTGCTCTGATGTGGTATAGACATATCCACTGGGTCTTTCTTAGATCATTCATCTTATTTGGTACTTGGGCAAAATGAATCCTGCGCTGACTGATTTGTGTGTTGTTTTCTTTTTTCAGTTTGTGGGAGATATCTGAATGCCACTTCAAATACCCCATTGTAGAACAATACCTGAAGACAAAGAAAACCTCCAAACACTTAATAATCAAATACATTATTTGCCGTTTACTTACACTAACAATTATCCTACTTGCATGCTTCTACCTAGGCTATTATATCAGCCTCTCTTCTGTGACTGATGAGTTTCTCTGCACTATCAAAACCGGAATCTTAAAGAATGACTCAGTAGTTCCAGAGGTGGTTCAATGTAAGCTTATTGCTGTTGGTGTCTTCCAGCTACTCAGTTACATTAACTTAATTGTGTACCTTTTGGTGATGCCCCTTGTAATGTATGCAATGCTCGTTCCATTCAGACACAGCTCAGATGTTCTTAAAGTGTATGAAATTCTGCCAACATTTGATGTTCTGAAGCTCAAGTCAAATCATTATGATGACTTGAGCCTTTACCTCCTCTTTCTTGAGGAAAACGTAAGTGAACTTAAATCATACAAGTGCCTCAAAGTGCTAGCAAACATTACAGGTACTGATAAGTTCGACATCATGCACCTTTTGACAAATCTGGGTACGATTAAAACAGATACAGTAGATGGAAAGCCAGGAGCTGTACAAGAAAAACCTGAAGAGGAAATTGTAGCAGATCCAGAAAACAATGGAACTGAGTTAGAAGGTAAATGTGATCAGTTTCTTGTTTTTTAAATGGTGCAGCCATTCAAACAGGCCTGTATAAGGAAAAGAAAGTATTACATAATTTTGTCTAGGCAGGGAGCCAATTTAGAAATAACCTGGCCTCGTGCACAGACTTAAATATGCTTTATAAGACGATTAATAATATAAAGCCTAGTCATGCTTTCTGTTCATATCATTCCTATTTAGTAAGTCTCTCCTAAGACAGTTATATTGTTCAGGAGGACTGTGTAATGTTTTTATTTGCTTGATTGGGGCTGTTGGGCAGGAAGTGTTTTTGTTTTTGTTTTGTTTTGCATGGTTTGTGGGTATGTGTCTAGCTCTAGCCAGTGGTAAAGAACTAGCAGAGTAGCCTTTAGGTCTGCAACAAAGAGCCCTTCCTGGCATCTCTCATCAACTGTAACCCATGTGGAAACGGCAGTAGCTGTCAGTGGCTTGAGTTGTTAGTTCTTCAGATCAGGGCTGTCCAGCTGGTAGCCCATGAGCTACATATTGTTCCTGAAGGAAGGGTTAGCCTGTGCCCCACAGGATCACCTCAGCCACTATTTCCCCCTCTTCATTTGCTCATGCTGCAACAGCTGGGAAGGGGCTGGAGCGTCTGAGGTGCACACCTGGCAAAGAAGGGAGCCTGCTTGCACTGCAGGTGGGTGGTGCATGGGGCTGGAGCGTCATACATGCATGGCAAGGAAGAGAGCTGAGCTGTCTGTGCTGGTGGCAGGGCGGGGGGCAGCCTGTGGAGTTTGTGCAGTGTGGGGAACAGCCCGGCTGCCCCCATTGCACATGCAGTGCAGGGGCACACTGGGCTTCCTGTGCTACAGAGCTGCCTGAGCAGCACATACAGCTGGTAGATGGGGGAGCTGGGATGCCCAGCACTACCTCCCTTCTTCCCCACCCCCATGCACACAGCATTGAGCAGCCATGCCACCATATGCACAGCAATGCTGCACCTCCCAGCCAGGTGCCTGTGTGATGGAGATGCCTGTGCAGCGCATGGCTGAGGGAGTCCAGGATGGTCTTGCCTTGAGCAGGGGGCTGGGCTAGATGACTTCTCAAGGTTTCTTCCAGCCCTACTTTCCTATGATTTTTGTGAATCTGTTTGTGGCCTTTGACTCACCCCAGGAGGAGTGAGATGTTGATTTAACTGCTCATCCCTTCTGATATTAGTGCATTTTAATGAGTGATTCTTACAAACAAGATGGAGCTTCTTTCTGTCTCCCTTACCCAAAACCAAGTCATTTCATTTGCAGGCACAGTTTACCTACACAAGAGAAGACAGAATCCCGGCTAAATTCATGGGATGTGATCACTAGGACAGTGACAGCACCACCACCACCACCACCACCACCACCACCACCAGTGCTACACATGAACGGGGAGAGGCCCTTTATGCCACGGCTGGTGGTTCTAGCGTAGCATCCAGTGGTAGCAAAATGAGTCTGCAAGCTCCTGCCCAAGCTCAGAGCTAGGTTATGATTTCCTTTGTGTGTACACAGCCTACCAGTATAGCTCTGGTGTAAGAAGCTACAAAGTCGCCCCAATTATTGACAAAGTAAAACGTGCTGTCTTGTTGTAGTTTTTTTGCTGTGGGTAAAGCATGAGCTTTTTTGCTTGTGGTGAAACAGTTTGATGGAATTTCAATGTACCAAGCGTTTGCTTTTTGTTTTAGTTTTGACAGAAGGGGTCTCCAGCAGCAATGGAAGAACAAGCGAAGATAAAAACATTCGCCAAAGACTCTAACATCTTACTGATCACTCCATCACATTGCAGTGGTGCAGTACAAGAGGACTTATAAGCCATCTGAAACACAAGGTACTGCTCCCATGGCGAGCAGTTCATCCTGTTCTTCACTGGTAAAGCTAAGACAGTCTGCAGACTATGTACATACCGCACAGTTGAATCCATGCTGCAAAAGGCATGGTCCAGAATTTAAATATTTATAAAACACTTTGCTTTTCAATTATTCGTATTGGGCATCCAGTGGGCATTCATGCAGAATGGATTACCAAAAGCAGCAACTGAAGCTAGAGCCATGAACAAGCTAGAAATGTTCTTATGGGGATGAAGAATTTAGCTATGTAGAGTATAGATACTAGAAAATGGGATGGGCAGATTCCCTTCAGAAGCATCTTAACCATAACAGATGTAACTGAATGCTGGAAGTGCTGAACACTGAGGCTTACTGTTTGGATTCCAGTTATGCGCTTCTTAATAATTTATCTAAAGCTGAAACATCCCATTCATGTTGATGGTACCAAAGGCGATTGCCATGACAGAGCTGTATTTCTATTAAATGTAGTCTTGGTTCCTTTTTCTCATAAAGTTAATGTGTGTTAAGTATAAGGGCTGCAGAAGTTTGATCTATAATTTTCTCATTTCTCAACTGGTTTGCTTTTAGTTCCTTTCCTAGTCCCCTCTGGAAAACTAAGTTGTTGAACAAAAGTTAATTCTTTTACAGAATTTCTGTAATTATCCTGTCTGTAAGGAAGCTGCATTTTAAATAGGCTGTTTTATTTGGTATCAAACACAGTATAAATTGCATATATTCCAAAACATGCCTTGCAAGAAATGGAAGCATGATGTTATATAGAAGCATGAGCTACATGTGTTAACGTAGCTCAGCCATGTTAGGAACTAAGCGTGGATGGCAGGCTAAAAATACTCAGCAAGGCAATACCCTACACCCCACTTCGCAATTCTAATTAAACTTAAGATGTAACGACTGGCTGAGACAATAATATGAAGACACTTTTGCTGCAAATGCATTGTTCTGCTGATGTTTTTGTTATGTCACAAAGAGATTGCCATAGCTTGTTCCTGGAACGTTTTGAGGAGGGCTACATTCAGTTTAGTAATTATCTTGCGGAAGGGATATCCTGTCAGAATCTCAGCATTTCTTACAAATGTCATATTGAGATTAAGTGAAACTCTTCAGCTGTAGAGGCCCACGCATATTTTAATCACCAAAATGGCAGTGTGCATCGCTTTCAGAAAGTTTATACACATGCTGACTTCAACACTCTATCTGGCCTGAGTTATCTTTTAGCCACTTTTGCTAAAATACACTTTAAAACATTTTAAATAATGGAAATCAATGCTTCGTAGTAGCTCAATAAGCATTTGTTTGCCTGTTTAGATTGCTTACTGGGGCTTTTAATGTTTGCATTATCATTATTACAAAATGGACTGTCAGGAATGGGAAAGCAAAAGAAGAATCAGTGTTGAGGCTTTTTCTCAGAATTATTATTGACTGTAAGGTAGCAGTGTATTGGATCACAGTTTATGGTGATACTACAAATCAGAGCGCCCAATTTAACTCCTACAGCTGTTGTTAAATAATTTCAGACTGTTGTGGCTTAGGGAGCAACTTTTATTCTCTGGTTTAAAACAACTTGAACCTGCTGGCTTTTAACCCATTCTTAGGAACTGATCTAGACCATTAGAGAAAAGCAACCTTATCCTCATTAGACCTTTTTTCTTATGAGCTTGTACAACAGGGCTGTGGTCTACAAGTGGAGTCCCTCTGCACTATCATGAAACTGATAATTAATACAATAAGGTCTGCTTAGACCCAACTTACAGCAAGGCAAACCTTAATGTAAATAAATACCTAAAACCATAATGCTATATGCTGCCTGTGAGGACACCAAGTGGCCTTAGTTCAAATGCCATGTTCCTTCACAAGTGAAGTGTAACACTGGGGCATGACTACAGTCCTTACATTCCACAATAGCTAGTAAGCAAAGCTGCAATGATGGTCATAAAAGAAATCTTTTATTTTAATGAAGGCTATTTCCAGAATACTTATATCAAGAAATATTCCCATATGATTTTGAAATGGGTATTTCTCACTGCTGCTGCTTACATTGGAGTGACCTGCTCTCCTATCTTAGATTTTTTCTAAATGAAAGCCTATCATACAAGCAGGTTGTTAACTCTGACTGCACAGAACCCTCCTTTGTAAAACCAGCTGCGCTCACCCATCTGTCCGTTTCTTTATAACAAAGTCCCATGGTGTGATCATAATCAATAATAATCAACCTCTCTTGCTGAGATAAGTATGCAGATGCTCTTTCAAAAAAGCCTTCTTTAATAAGACTGAGTAAAGTCTGAAACCCCTCACTTTAGACTATTCTGACTTTTTTAAAACCATTTTTTGGTGATTTTTATACAGAAACAACCATTTTGATACTGTGTGTTTAAGTGAAACTTGTTGGGTGCCTCTTATATTAAGTGTGTTGTAGCCTGTTTACTTCAGAAGTGGTGAAATGTAAAAATCCTGTAACACATTTGAATTGGATGGAACAGTTAGGGTTATTTATTCCTTAAAACTTGAAGCTCATAAAAGGTGTGCATGTGTGGGGGGGGTTGTAATAATTTTTGTGTTAATTGAGAACCTTTTTTAACCATGTAAATGTTAGTGAAGTGCAATAGTATAGATTTTATACATGGAAAACACATCTGCAATAATCCTTGCAGGTGTCTTTTTTTAAGTGAATAGTGCAATGCAAAATGCATTAGTAATTGAAAGGGATATTGGATTTCATCAAAGTTTTGCACAGACATGTAACTTTTTGTGAAGTCTTGGTGACAGTTCAAGAAGACCATTAGCACGCAGTCTTATACTAGTAAACTGCTTTGCACTGCCAGTTTATGTTCAAAATTTGATTTAACCTTAAAAGTGTTTATAAATTATGGAAAATGTCACTGAATGACAAATAGCAGTAGGAAAACATCCAGCACTCTGCATGTTTAATGCCAAAACTGGCAACTTTTAGTTGTATAGTGCCTCCCTCCGATTTTAAAGTCTGTTGTGCTACTTTTCCAACCAAAGAAGTAAAGTTGGGCAGTACAAGAGATGAATGAACTTTGTTAGAATTTTTACCAGATTTCTAAAGGGCAAACAGCATATATGAAGGTAAGTTTGATAATTTAATCCTGTTCCTCATTAAAACTGCCACAGAATGCGGCAGTTGTCAGCTTGGACCAGAAATAGGATGGCAGCTCTTGGTTGGGGTTGATGAACAGTGGCAGAATCAAGCAGAAGTGTGGGACGTCTCTGGGCCCAGTTCTTCACTCATTTCCACCAGAGTTACCCCAGCACACCTCCATCATGTGTGAGACTGGTTTGCCTTTGGTTTATATTGGTGTAATAAAATGTCATTCCTCTGTGTACTCTGAGTTCTCTGTGTACTCTGTGCCTTATTAAAGCTTCTGGTAGCTCTTTACAATTTTTTAAGCTGATAAAACAGACTTGTAACACATGAGAAAGTGTGTGGGGGGAGGGGGGAAAGAGGGAGAAGGTGCTCACAAATACCCCAAACAATGTAAAAAGTACTTGACAATGTCCCTTTTAAAATAATAAATGCCCAAGTTTGCATTGATCTCTTGATGTAGTAATGGCATTTCTTAGTTTGTTTCTAGATTAAGAGCCCAGACCTGAGGTCTTGTTCTTCCATTTAACTACCCAGCATTTAAACATGGGCTTTAGGCAGAAGTTTGCCACCCTGCCTTAAGGACTGGCTCCTAAGCCAGTTGTCTCGTCTTTGTATTATGACCATGTGGTTTTCATCTTGAAAAACTGGAAACGTAACAGTTAATGTACAGTTTGCTCTCTGTAGAAATGGTAAGATAAAATGTAGCAGTATATTTGGCACTCTGTCAATGTCAGTCCAAATAAAAATGTACCCTCAGAAGAGAAAATTGCTTGGTCTTTTTATCATTTTAATTACTTCATGTCAAAATGATAAGACTCATTGGTTTCACAGTGGTATAAGCATAGTTTATATATATTCTAATGTCATGGAGGAATTAACAGAAGCAGCATCGTACACAGTACAACAGAACTTACTTTGCTTCAGCTTTGAAAAACTTACCCATGATACATAGCAGAAACAGGAAGCTGAATGCCTTCATGAACTGGGCTGTCCTTGAATAACCTGACTAGTTACAAATCTGGGGTACTGGAACCTGCTTTCCAGTTTTACTTATTTTTTTTATTTTAGATGGTGTGAAAAACTCCATCAGGAAGATCAACATGGTGATTACAGTAACAATGTATAACTGGTAGGGCCATGCGAAGCTTCGGATGCTGATTCGATTTGGAGGAGACTCAGCCAGATTTGGTGGTCAAATCTCCGAATCCAAATCAAATTGGGAAACCAATAAAAAGGTCTGAATCAATTTGAAGCCTCCAAATTGATTCAGAAAAGATTCAGAGAAAGATTCAGCGGTTCGGGCAGTCCCTGCTTGCCACCGCAGGGAGCTGGACCCAGCCTCTGTGCTGGTAAGTAGGGGCAGGAGGCGGGGAGGTGGAGGAAGGGGCAGGGAACCATGGGGGGGACCCCCATCAGGCCCCATCCCCTACCTGCTCCCCCAGCCCCACTCAGCACCCTTTGGCCCCCGCCTGCTCTCTCTGTCCTGTCAATGGCTGCCCCTCCTCTGCCCTGGACCCAGCATCCCGGTGCTTTAAAAAAAAACAAAACAAAACAAAAAAAAGCCCCCACTCAACAGCTGCTGCACACACTGTAGTGGACAGTTTGGTTGCCCCCAAGCCCACACGTTGAAAGGTAAGGGACCCAGGGCAAAGATTTACTATAGAGAAATTGGAAGGGTTTTGGGGGGGGGGCGGGGTTGGTTTTGTTTTATTTTTTTTCATTGTTTGGGTTTTTTACACGATCAGAAGGGTTTTTTTTACCCTGTTCTACTTGGTCTGTAACTCCCCAGTATGGCCCTTACCTACATTCCTGATCCTCTTTGGCTAACATAATCAGCTGCTCAGTCAAAATAGCCACATATTTCTGGATCTGGACCAGCATTTTACTGAAATTGACAGAAAAAGTTAAATGAACTAAAACAAATATGAGGAACTCATTCCAATGGAAGTATAATTCTGTGCACTGGTCAGGAGCTGCTGCCATAGAAACACAGTGAATGTTAAAAGTACTAGTGCAAGTTGAGAGGCAGCTTCAACTCATACATACCAAAGATTTCAGCAAACAGCCAGTCAGTTATATTTGTGCAGACTGAAAGAGATCCCGTGACACACACCTAAGCCTAAGGAAACAGCTATTTCCAAATTAGAACCACAGTTGTATTTTTAACAATTTTAATGTGTTTAGTGTCAGAATCCCTGTAAAAGCAAACAGGAACATATGTAAATCTTCCCTAAGAAAAGCTATATTTTTGTTTCAAGTCATTGTCAGATCTCTCTCCTTTGTGCAGGTTCATCTGCCCAAATACTGTGTTGTCAGTCTCTTAAACTTGTTTTACTGAAAACTGCCTTTTTCCAGGCTATAGCAAAGGCAGAAGTGTGAACTTAAGGCTTTCCAGTACCTGGAAGCTGTTTGTCAAGGGCTGAACTGTGTACCATCATTTATTTTGAAGAGTATTTTACAAGACTTATACTGAAATCTGTAGATGTGCCTGCACTGCTCTTAACAGTTAATTTTGTGGCTACTTCAAGACCAAACCTACAATCTCTTGCACTGAAAAACCCTAAGTTTGACCCTCAGCAGCAGTCCAGCATGACTCTGTAAGCTCTGATGAGCTTCCGAACCTGAGGCTGAGCCTCAGCCTAGCCTGTCCTTGTCTACAACCTGTCTGAAACTTGTTCAGGCTGAAATCTCAGGACGTTCACCAGCAGCTATCCTCACACCTCCTATTTCCAACTCTCATAACTCAGTCCTGCACTCCATTGCCTGTCTCTCTATTGCTCATAATTAGAGCCATTACAGAAAAAGAGATGAGGGGCAAAGAGATCCTTAGGCTGGCTATGCTAGAGCAGTTATGTTCAAAGTATGGCCTGTGGGCTGAATCTGGCCCATGGAGCTAAGTTATCTGGCCCCTGCATGGGACTCCTTCGCAGGTCTGGAAATTTTGGCTGTAGGGGAGCAGAGGCAGTATTAATTGCTGTACCTCTGGGAGCCCCGTGGCAATTAATGCTGCCACTGCTCCTCTACCACTACATTTTTGGACCTGTGCAGAGCCCTACCGCCTGGATGACCTGGCCCCACTGGTGTGCTAGGCTTGTCTAGCCAGACCCAGTTTGCAGGGTTGGACCTGGAGCATGGTCCCCGACTCAGCCCATGGGGCCAGTTTGTGACTGGACCTGGCATGCAGCCCTGGATCCAATATACAGGGTCAGTCTATGTACTGGATTGGTCCTGCATACCAGCTGTGCCCCACTCACTTGGCCCATGTGCTGGAAAAGCCGAGCAATGCTGTGCTGAAGAAAAAGGAAACACAATGGACAGCAGCCACAACATACAATCTAGAAAGACAAGGAGAGCTTATGTGATTTGTGCTAGTTAAAAGCAACCCCAGGGGGTCAACTATAAGAACAGAGCTACCCATGGAGAAGGACGTAAGAGTAAGAACACAACCCTCCGTGGCTATAGAATAGAAAGAAAAAAAGTAAGCTGTTTTGTATTCGGGTGTTTCACTGTGGATTTAGAAGCCTGAAAACTTGTCTACATAAGGAAATTACTGCCAAATAAACAAGGGTACAACATTACAGTGTACACTAACTCCCTGTAGGAGCTTCTAGCAGTAAGGTACATGTTGTTATGATCAGAAAGTAGCCCTGACTCAGGGACCCAGACACACAAAACGTTAATATTGATACAGTAATTCATGTTCTTTACATAAGTTGTTACACTCACCTAAGTTGCACCAGAGGCTGGAGCAAACAGGTAACCTAACCAGCTATTCCAGGGTAGCTGTTTGCAGCAATAGGTGTTATTACAGCACCTTGCCAGTAAGCTGCAGGAGTGCAAGTAAATGCCTGTGTTATAACAAACAGCTATCCCAGAAGAAGTCTGGACACCCTCCTGAAAACCTCTACTGCAAGAGATTCCACAATTTCCCTGAGCAGGTCATCCATTGAATTAATTTTTTCCTTAAATCTAGCCTAATCTGCTGTGCTGTAATTTAAAACTATTGCTCCACATCCTGGCTTCGGTGGGATGTGGACATTTTGCATCCAGGACTTCAGGTACATAAAGTCCAGAGACAGGTGGGATTAGGACGCACTCCTGTGCTCACTGTTTCCTGTTGGCTAGCTGTAAGCATCTCCCTATTCAGTGGGCTGGGTTTTCTGGATCCCATTCTGAAGCACTTGCCTCTCCCCTTGTATTGTTGGGGGAGCTCTAATGCCTAAACTACAGCTTTCAATTCCACTTAAAAGTCAGGGGCTGTGGTACCTAACTTTTGACTCCGCACTCTGGCCACGCACCTGGAATTTTTTGTTTGTAAAGGAAAGAGGAGGCGGAGAACAGAGCTTCCTTTCTCTTGCCTTTCAGTAGTCTGGGCCTACTTAGTGCTGTGGCCCTGTCTTACCTATCTGTACAGCACCTAGCACAACAGGGCTCTGTTCTCTGATGATACTGAAATGCAAATTATGATAATGCAATTGTTGGCAAGACACATGCAGAAAGATCATCTACAGTGAAACATTAAAGCAGTTGCCATTTTTGACCAGCTTTGAAACTGAAAAAAAACTACACAGCAAATGTCAAACTGCACCAACAGCATTACTGGAAGTAACAGAAACAGCAGAGTGTTTTCAAACTAGGCATTCAGACTGCATCTTGTGTCAGGTTTCTTCTCCAAAACCAAGCTGGCTCAGTTCCAGAAGCACATTGAAAATATCAGACCCCCTTCAAAGCATAACTCAATAGCACTTAGCATTCAGCTAACACTCCACAGCTTCAAAGCATCTTACAAGCCAGTTAACGGATTCAGTGATGGATTTAGGGCAGCACTTAACTACCCAGCGATAGCATCTTCCAAACAGATAAAACTAGCTTTAAAAAAAATAAAATCCTCAGAGCATCTTTTGAATGCAGGCAGATGTGAAAGCTATTATACCCTGGAGACTCACAGATTGTGGGCCCATAAACCAGCAGGCACTTTTCAAAAGGTTGGCCTAAGTGACTCGTGGTAGTACACAAGTGGAGACTGCAGCAGGGTCAGAATTGGACCCGAGCTCCCATTCCTTTACTCGGACTTGGATCACTGCTCTCAGCAACTCTGCTTCAAAGAGTAAAGGAGACAGACTTAGGTCCTCAGTGTCTTATTTTGCCCTTTATCAAAGATATTTATAAGAAATGTGGCCAGGCAGGGGAGGGATGGTTGCTAGGCAACATCTCGTTAGTACTGTCATGAGTAATAACAAGGCAGGTCCAGTCAGAGACCAGATCATGCGCCTACTGAAGTAGTCAGGGAGAAAACCCTTGCTTACCGTTAATGGGAGTAGGGTCTTAATGACTGAACCCTTATGTCCTTATAGGCGACCGAAGATCACCGCCTTTCACCACATGGCGGAGGAAAAGTAGTTTCCCCAGATGACTGAAGTTACCATTTGTTACCATGCACTTCCCCTCCTTCCAGGAGTACTTTTCAGCCCACACTCTCAGAAAGCCTTGGCTTGCATCCATTACGCTGCCCAACAAGACAGCCAGCGCCACATAACAGCCATCGTGTGAGTGGGTTCAGTGAAGCCGGGGCAGAGAACGACTGCATTTCAAAGGACACGACAGGGGTATAATGAAGGACAGTAGCATAACTGTGGGGGGGAGAGGCACCCACCCTGGATGCCAGATAAGAGGGGGCACCAAAACAATGACTCCCTGGGACCACCCCCCAGCGCAGTAGCAGAGTACATCTGAGAAGCCGTCCGTGCAGCAGTGCACAGGG